GGCCTGGGCCTGGGCCTGGGCCTGTGCGGCTCCGCTGCCCCCGCGGGAGGGGGTTTCTGATGGGCCTGCGAGGCGTGGTTTGGGGCTTGTGCAAAGGGGAGGCAGGTGCTGCCGAACCTGTATGTGAGGTTTTACCAGGCACCTGAAAAGCTTTGCTGGCCTCTGGTTTTGAGTGAGGCGATCCCCTGCCCAAACACATGGTGCCGTTTCGTGCTGTTCCAGGCTCAGTGTTTCACTTATTCATTGTCTTAAATTTGGCAGACATCTGCTTTTTTCTGATGTAATAAACTTCGTCTGAGGTTGCTCGATGTAGAAGTGAGTAAAACTTACGTGTCACTAAGGGTGCACGCTTTGCATCTGCATAACTTTAATACGGTGGTGTTTTGTTAGTGTTCTTTGTGTGTGTTTAGAGTGGTGGTGTGGTCAGAATAGCTGGTTATTGAGTGTGCTGTTAGGTGCTCAGAGGCTAAGCAGCAGATCCTGCCGGCAGAACTGGTGGCCACCTTACTCCTGTAGCATAGCAGTTGCATGGTATGAGGTGTGGACAACGTTGAGTCCATTATCTCCAGAACGATGTTAATCTGCTGCTGCTCTTGGTCACAATCCTGGAGCCTTCCCAAGGTTGTTTAGAGGATTTCTTTGGCTTTGGCATGTAGCACTGGTCTCCGTCACATTTCTGGTGGTCATAAACCAAAAGTTGCACAGTGGTTCTGATATGAAGAGAATTCCATAACATTAGGCCTGGGGGGGATCCTGTAGGTAGGTCCCTCTGTTTGTAACTTGTTTTTATGAATACTAAGTACTGCCCTGCTCTTACCAAGGTCTTTCACTGAAATCAGGAGGAGAAATTAATGGATAGCTGTTCAATTCTGGATGGTTTTGTCTGTCTAAAGGGAAGTCAGAGCATGACTCAACTAAGCCTTGCTTTTGGATTGGCCAGGGTGGTTTTTTCAGGGTTTTACATTATTCAGTTTAGGATTGCTGCTGGTGCACTTACAGTGACTTGTTAAATGTGGAGTACTAGTTCATGGAATAGCTTAGACTGCAGTTGTGTTGTGTTTTGTAGCTGCAGTTGAAACCCTGCCCAGTGTTAACCAGTGTGAGGACACCTCCAGAGTGCTGCAGGGTGGAAAACCAGTGGCTTCAGAGATGGTTATCAGAGCTTAAAGGGATGAAAAATACTCCCAATTCTTTTTCTGTCAAGTTTATATTCTTGGTGTATTTCCGCCGTTAGTGGCAGGTGAACAAGTGACTGGCTTACTGATAGACACACACGCAATCCAAAAGCCGTAGTGTAGGTGCATCTGAGTGAACACACCTTTATGTTATTTATTCTCCTTTATTATAGTTGATGCATCAGTAGGATAAGGAAATGTCCATGTTTTCAGAGATTTAATGTTTCAGTCTGTAGTTCAAGTGGTATAATGTCTGTTAGACTATAGGAAAGTGCTGAATACTAGCTGCATGCTGCATCTGTTATGCATCCACATTTACTCATGCATGTACAAATTTAAAAACAGACAGAGAAACAAAACCCCCCAAATCTCTTGAATTTAATCTCTCTGATAGCACGAAAACAGAACTCAAACCTGCAGCACCGTTAAGTGGGGTGACACTGTCACAGCCTGGTTTTGCAGTATTTACCCAGTAGTTGTAACACTAGGAAGCCCAGTTGCATTGTTTTTGTACCTTGCTATGGAAGAACTAATTGTCTTCTAATCTAAGAATTTAGAGCATGAAAGTCTTAGAAGTCTTAACCAGGCTTTCAGTTTAATAAATTATCTTGCTGAGTAGGGTATCAGAGTGGATTAAGTCTCCGTAATACCCCTACGAGTCACTTCTCATCCTCAGTAGAGGTACAGTTGATTGCTAAACTTAAATACTTTAGCAGCTATTGACATTCAGCACAGTTATTAGTTCTTATTTCCTGTGTTTATCTTTTCTTCCTTGCTTGAAAACAGCCTTACTCTC